ACTGTTAAATGTACAATTCAAGATACAATCAAAAATACTTTTACAAACTTTGGAGGCGGCTTCCTGACACCAAACCACGATAAAATGTCCACATAAACATATGTCCAAAAGGCCATCGTTGTACCTCAACACAGCAACTCATAACAAATGTTCAAAATGTCCTCCGCTTGTTTCTACACACGCATGTACCCGTCGGATCATTGACTGGCGGACCCTTTCAAATACTCCCACACAGTGTTGAATGGTTTCGCTGAACCTCATGACACGTTGATGAAACGACTCTGTATTATTAATGACTGCTGCACAAATCAGTTGTTTTAGGTGGCCCACACAGCTAAAAATCCAAAAGATTGAGGTCAGGTAACGTGCAGGTCACGGAACCGGTCCTCCCCTACTTCTCCATCTTTCATGGTAGATGTCAGCCAGTGCATCACGAACTAAAATATGCTGGAGTCCCATCATGCATGGACCACATAAATCTTCCTATCAGGCGTACGAATGAATCTCGGTCTTCTTCAATTCATAGTTTGTACCCGCCAGATCGTTGACTGGCGGACCCTTTTCAAAATACTTCTACATTTTGATGAAGCGTTATCTTTATTTATGTCTGCTGCATCAACCAATTGTTTTAGGTGGGCCCACAGACAAAAATCCAAAAAGATTGAGGTCGAGGCAACGTGCAGGTCATGGAACCGATCCTCCCCTACCTATCCATCTTTCATGATAGATGTCAGCCGGTGCATCACGAACAATGTGACTAAAATGTGCTGGAGACCCCTCATGCATGAACCACATTCGTCATCGTATTAGCAGGCGTACATCCTCTAGCATCGTTCGAAAGTGTGTTCGAAATAAATTTCGCGTAGACAGCACCTCTATGCTGGTAGAACATATGGACCTACTAGACAGTCAACTACAATTTCATGCCACACATTAATCTTGAACTGATGCTGGTGTCTAGCATGTATTGTACCATGGGGATTCCGATCTACCCACAAATGTTGGTTGTGCAAATTTGTTATTCCATCTCTTCCAAATGCTGCCTCATCCGTAAACAAGCTTGAAGAGACAAATAATAGATCGGCAGTTTGTACAATGAACCCTCGGCAAAAGTTCCCCCATGGTGCGTGATCAGAGGGTGAAAGACCTTGCACACGTTGCAAATGATCCGGATACATGAGCTTCTCTTGAAGTATCCTCCATGCGATACTATGTGATGCACGACATGCTAGGCCCACTTGACGTGTACTGATATCTGGATCGTCACCGACAGTTCGTAGAATGTGTTCTTTACGGTCAAGCGGATCTCGGTCTTTCTTGATCCATAGTTTATGGTGCCACGGATCCTGCCTCAGCAAGGCGAGGATAAACAGCATCAAGGTTGGATGACTCGGAAGGCTTCGGTCTGGAAACGCAATCTGATACAGCCGTGCATCCATTACCATTTGCGCAGCCGTATGTAAAATCTTGATATGAATATCCTGCCATTCTTAAACGGAAAACGTATATATATATATATATAAAGTGTTAAGGTATGCTATATTTATAGGTTAAAGTGCTTAATATCATGCGTTCAAACTCAAGTGTCAGCAGTGACACTTTATTTCTATATAACACTATTTAACCCGGAGATGGGAGGGGCGAGGTGGTTTCATACGTTCCCCAAGAGTATTGTGAAAGTTACGATGGAAAGTAAGCAACGAAGTCACAGTTTTCTTGTTGGAAACCGCTAACTATTATACAACCGGCAAGTTCTAATACGTCTTCTTTGTAAACTGGAATAAAGATATATAACATACATTTTTGGATTAAGAAAAACCATAATACAGCCTGTAGAATGTGTTCTTCGTGATCAGGCGTATGAGTGGATCCTGGTCTTCCCCGATTCCCTGTGGAACCATAGATCTTGTATCAGCAACGCGATAATAGACAGCAGCAAAGGTTGGATGATTCGACTGTCTTTTGTTTTGAAACACGTTTCGCGTAAAAGGAAGAGGTAATTAGAATTAACAGAGTCGGAGGGGGTGATATAAAGGTTATTGACATGTAAATAAAATGAACTGTTCAAATAACATTATTGTAAGGTAAATATATATATATATATATATATATATTGTGTGCATTTAAGCAGCATATTTTCATTTATACACGTTTCATTAAATAATATAGATAAGTGTTGTCTATTTATTTTATGTAAATTTTTTTCGTAACGTCTGATAAGTTTAATAACATTATCGCTGAACGAAGAAAGAAAATCACAATATTGATCCATATTTTTTAATATAATCTAAGCTTTCGGCTTACTTGTCTATATTATTTAATGAAACGTGTGTGCGTATATATATATATATATATATATATATATATATATATATATATATATATATATATATATATATATATCAGTTATTAAATTATACATCGGTCAGGTTTCAATAAGCACCTGACGATTGCGTTGCGCATGAAACTCAGATTTCTTATACCGGTAAGCATAAAATCTCTCTCTCTCTCTCTCTCTCTCTCTCTCTCTCTCTCTATATATATATATATATATATATATATATATATTAAGCAATATACATAATATCTTACATTAATTGCACAAATCGATGTTTTATGCCAAAGCAAACGTGCTGGAATTATAGTATTTATTTGTATTTCTATTTATATGTTGAATCGATACCGGTTTTTTTTTATAGCTCTGCTACTTTACAATGATCACTGTTTTTTCTGACATTATAGAGTATTTATATGTATTTGTATCGCGCGTTCGTATACCTATATATATATATATATATATATATATATACGAAGATGTAGCAATAGGTTAATACCTAGATACGTAGATATTCACTGAAATTTCTGTCCGCTGTAAATTGAATCCATGTATGCGATAACCACGGATACGAAGAATTGGATGTAATTATTAAGAGGACTCTAACAAGATAAGCCAACATCCATTCTGTCAAATATATGTTAAGAACCAAGAAGAAGTAGTGGGAAAAATATGTTAGTAGACTGTGTAGCGCCAGATTTCTGGCGGAGAGGGCATAACTTGAAAATCAGTATTAAGAATTTGGCTTTTATCTCGACTCGAGCACCATCTACTAATAACAATATGAAACGACGAACTAACTATTTCAATCACTCTAATCGGTTTTATATATATATATATATATATATATATATATATATATATATATATATGCAGGAATGGGCGTGCGTCCACCCATGCAATGTGTCAACTCATCGTTTCAGTACTGCGTACATCTTCATTTGCAATCGGACGTCTTCTTCGATTCCGCAAGCCCGGCCATAGCAGCTGTTTCTGTCAAAGTCCTACCCACCCGTCTCGCCCTCCTAACCGCCATCGTGCCCACACCTAATTCCCGACACCTTCTTTCTGCCTCAATTGTCCGCCATCTTGCCAGTCCCACTTTGTTCCACGCTGTTTGATGGCTGACCGTGTGAAATGAGCAGTTACTATTGACCCGGCTGTTATGGCGAGTGAAGGCGAGAAGAAATGAAGAAGGAGATGGGATGGTGGAGTACTGGGACGTGGAGTAGAAGAAGAGGAGGAGGAATAAGCTGGTGTTATAGAAGGCGGCAGTGGGAGGTTTAAACGAATAAATCACAGATAAATAGATAGATAGATAGGAGGGAGAGAGAGAATGTAAGATTGAGAAAAAAGAATGGACAGAAAACATAGGGAGAAGGTAATGGAACAGATGCGAGCCAAAAAAGTAATGGGGAAGGTTTAAGAATTGGAATGAAGATGGAATCAAAATTATATAGAGAAAAAGAAATGCGTAAAAATATCGTAGGTGAAACCGTAAATGAGTGGTTTTGCGTAGAAGGAAGAGGTATTAAAATTAACAGAGTAGGAGGGGTGGTATAATGGTTATTGACATGGAAAGTGGAATCGGCGCGCTGAGTTCAATTTCCGTGAAAGTCTTTTGCATTAATTTTCGCATTATTGACTTGGGAAAGCCTGAATCCTTCCCTTTTCGTCTAATATATACTTTAATTAACAGTGTAGACTGAGTTTTCTAGCTTGAGGTAGCCATCAATCTCAGAGAAGGAAAACTGAAATTCAAAAGGTCAACAGAAAAATCACTCTAATTTTTCCCCAAATGGACAGATAATACAGAAATGGCATCTGTAGAGAATCATGATCGCTTACGTCTTGAAGGGTTATGTGATTTAATATGTGATCTATGACCCTATGATCACAACTAACCTATTGACATACACACTACGTCCAACTATCTAACCAACATAAATAAGCGCTCAAAAGACCATAACCATAAATAACCTAATTTCATACACACTTTCTCCAACTACTCCATCAGCATAAATAAATAATCTAGAGGTCATGACCAGAA